AGTCCTTTTACCCTTACAGCTGCTGCAAGGCCATCAATCAGCCCCAGCTGAGCAGGTAGGAGAGAGGATCTGGAGGCCAAATTAGGCTGCTAAGGAAGAGATTAAAGTCCAGGACCTCTATGGTAGCATTCTTTGATATGCTTCCAGTTCCACATACAAGGCCAGTTAGACAGGCAGAATTGCAGGCTCTCAATGCGTGGGTGAGACGATGGTGTAGGGAGGAAGGGTTTAGGTTTATTAGGGACTGAGGAACCTTTTGGGAAAGGAGGAGCCTATACAGGAAGGATGGGCTCCACCTAAACCAAAATGGAACCAGATTGCTGGCATGTAAAATTTAAAACGTCGTAGGGGAGTTTTTAAACTGAGGCGTGGGGGAAAGCCGGCAGGTGCGGGGGAGCACCCAGTTTGGACAGAGATATCCCATAGGGGAGGATCTATTACTATATCCTAGTAAAGAGGAGAGGATAGAAGTTAATAAAGTATAAACAATCAAATGAAAGAGTCAGCTGCCCCAGGCCCCTGATCCCACTGGGCCGGCCGGGAACCCCACCCCTGCCCCTGCTGCACTGGGTGGCAGGGCAGCCCAGACCCCTCCATGCTGGGCAGTCAGGAACCTGGGACCCCGGCATGTGGGCCAACCTTTAGCACACAATTGAGCTGGTCCGCAGCTGTGTGCTAATAGGGCCGCATGCAGGCCGCAGGTTGAGAACCGCTGGTGTAGCTTCAACTTCCAGCCATTGGTTCATGTTATATCTTTCTCTGATAGACTGAAGAGTCCATTATTAAATATTTGTTCCCCCACCCAATAGGTATTTATAAACTGTAATCCAGTCACCCCTTAACCTTCTCTTTGTTAAACTAAAGAGATTGAGCTCCTTGAGTCTATCACTGAAAGGTATGTTTTTAATCCTTTAATCGTTCTTGTGACTCTTCTCCGACACCCTGTTCCTGTGAGTATTAATGTATTTATCTACAGTGCAACAGTTTCAGCAGGAGAGATGGAGGGAAACCCACACCAGAATACCCCATAGCTCAGTGGTTAGGGCTCTCACAGGGAAAGTAGTAATCCGGACACTTAACTCCTCAGCAACTAGGGAACAGCTGGTGAATATTTTTAACTTGTCTCATATTGGCTAATACTTTATAATGTTTTTAATAAAGAAAGAAGAAAGGACTGCCAGAGAAAATACCTGAGCAAAGTTTCTTCTTCCCTGAGACTGTGGCATGCTGAGTCTCTGGTTCCTGGTTCCTGTTTAAAGCAGCTAGCAAGAAAACCAGAGAAAACACATTATCAGTGTCTAATTTGTAATGATATTAATTCACTTTCTCAATTGCAACAGGTATATTGATTTCAGTGCACTTCCCATATTTCCCACAATTTTGAAAGGGAAAAATCTGCAAAAAAGCACAGGTGAGTTCCTATTTTCCCCTTTAAGGCACTTCCTCACATTGCAGAGCTCTTAGAGATCTAAGGATTCAAAGTTCTATATAAATTGTTCCTACAACTCACCAGCGCTGAGGGCACTGTCATAGCTCTAACACTACCAGGGAGGTGATGTATCTCTCTGACCCAATGAGTTAGGTTCCATTGCTGCAAGGGCAGGGCTTGGGTGGATGAGAGTCAGTCAGGGGAGAGAGCACAGCAGGGATTGGCTGGATAGGGTGTCTTCAGGAAGGAAATCAGATCTGTACCTTCATCACACCCACTCCCTTTTGTGTATGCTGGGAATGTGAGCCAAGTGGGTAATAAAATACTGATTTTATTATTGCTTATATTGGCCATTCTGTCTAGCTCTGAAGGACCATGAAAGCACTGAAGAATTAATGAGAGTTGTCTAGATAAACCAGTTTTGATAAACCATTATTTTCATGCATGTGAACGCGGGGATGCCAACATGAGATGGCAAGACAGGGCCATAAACATGGCCCCAAATCAGGATTTTATAGAACTGTAACCCATCCACGTCTCCCTATCTTATTATTATGGAACCCTGGCGGTTGTTGCTTCATATGAAAATGGGCTTTAAAATGGGGAATAAATTTCTCTCTAAATGTAGGTGGCCTTTAGTGTAAAATTTCACAGAGTGTTAGTTTTTATGCCCTTTGAATTTTCTGTGTGGTTTTTGTTTGATTTCTTTTAATAAACGTAATAGGAAGGATTTGAAAATTTAGTCTATGACTGAAATTTGTAGCAGTTAGACTTGTTTTGTCAAATATCTTTTTAAAAAGATTGTCTAACTGCACACACATTGTAGAGAGATTAATCTTGAGTAGATCTGGTGCAGTGAGTACAAATTTGCTTTTTAAATTAAGGTGTGTTTTAGCCATTGTGCATCATATCTGAAAGTATAAGTACCAGTGGGTAGCCAATGGGTACAGCCTTCTATGGCATATGGACAAAACCTTCTGTCACTAGCTACACTCTTCTGGCAGATTTTCTCCTCCAGCAGTGAAAGCTTTCTATGCAGCTCCTGACAGAGGTTTTATTTGCCAGAGACGTGCAGCAGCTGATCATCTCCACTACAAGTGCAGTTCTGTGGCACAGCTTTGAACAACCCCCACTGTGCTCCCCTAGCTTAAATATTGACCCCCTAGGTAATGAATACACAAAAGGCTTTGATGTAACACAACAAAGGTTATGACACACAAACATAACAGAACTTACACAAAGCAAGGAAATGAAAAGTCAAGTCACTTCACAGGGCATGACCCTTTCTTCCTCTCCCACAGTGCGCACTTTGCCATTGTCACAACTACTGTACATCACAATCCCATCACCATTCACAATTAGCTGCTCTAAGAATTTGATAGAACCTGTCTCCTTCTATAGCCACAGAAACATATCTCAGTTTCACCCTTTAGACCCTTTCTCAGTACCTCTAAATTTCTTCAGAATCTCCTCTGGAACAATACCAAGTTGGCGCAAAGTACTTAGTTTCTCTTCCAGTTCAGGTGAAATCTCCACCGGTGGCCGATCTTTCACCTGCTTGCATCTAGAGAGCAACATTATTGTGTGTGATAATTTATTATTTCATACTAGGGAAAAGTTGTTGGCAAAGGAGACCCAATGCTTTAGTTTATCGCGATCTCAAACCAGTACGGCATATTCTATGGCACTGCAAGATTTCTACCCAGCTTTGCCAATGGCCTATTAATATAATTGAACAGTGAACTGCAAAGACCAGCTCTCAGCTAGAAAGGGATTTCAGTCTCCACGGCGACATTCACTCCTTTGCCCCCATGCTTTGATAGTCAATGTGTTTCCAACATTTCTGGAGGTTTCTGTGCTGTGAACATTGGCCCACTGGGAGCTGGACTGATACCCACTCCCTCCAAACTCACCTCCAAGGAGTCACCAGCTTGTAAAAAAAAATCTTGTTAACTACAAATGTTGTTAGAACTGTGACCAGTGACCAGCTGAAAGGCCCATAGTCCACCCCTAAAATAGAGATACCTCCAATCTCCCGGAGATTCAATTTATGCAGAACATATGTTCAGGTTAATAATCCTTTCTGTAGGATTAATCATAAAATGATAAATTCTCAGGATTAAACTCAGAGGGAAAATTGCATCTGAAGCATGATCCTGACCTGCACAGTTCACTCTCATGCACTAAGGAGATGCTATTTTAACATGGTTTCTAGGCCTCTTCCAGCATAGTGAAGTATTGGCGGGGGGGGGGGGGGTTTGAGAATGAGCAACATACCTGTTCAAGGTGCTTCTGATGTCCTAGATGGGAGGGAGCGAAAGAGGAGAGGTCAGTCCACGTGTTA